GAGAGAGAGAGAGAGAGAGAGAGAGAGAGAGAGAGAGAGAGAGAGAGGGGGAAGAGAGAGAGAGAGAGATGCTCGGCAGTTCAGACAGTTCATCTGGAGGGCAATGAGGGAGATGGAGCATGATGAAGAATTGAGAAGGAAGGGGGAGAGGAAGAGGAGGGCTGTGTATCCAAAAACCTCTGAATAACGACTCTCAGCTTGCAGCCCTTTCATCAAACACGGGATATCAAAGTCACTGAGCAAACGAGATCTAATGACTCTTTTTAAATAAAGAGAAAACCAACTGAAAACTGCCTTTGCACTGCGAAGAGATACAGAAATATGAGTGAGTCCTCAAATGCTTCCAGCAGCCTACACTATCATGACATCACCCTTCATCTCATTAGAGAAGCTACGTTCTCCCTAAGCCTTATTCTCCCACTAATGCCGATGCCACTGAGAGCAACACTCAATATTTCATTCAGGGGTGTAAATATTGCATTAACTGCAGTCGGCCCATTTTTGCGGGCCGTACAGTGTGCATCATGAACCTCCTACTCTTTTCTCAAGCAGCCAGAATACCTCATCCAGACAGACAAGGGTCAGGCAAGGCTGACTGTTGCATCTTTCTCTCTGCTTTTCTGAAATCTAGTCAGCACACTTGTAGCCGTTTTCACCGGAAGTCGAGTGGGTCCTGCTGTTCTATTCAGCTAAAGTCTGTGTCTGTAATCTGCTGACAAAGAGCTCATTACTCGATGCTATCCTGAGGAATCTGCTGGTCTGACATCTGCCGGGGAAGCATTCCACCAGGGCTGAGTCACTGTTTGAAATTGCACAGTTGAAATGTAATGACATCTCCTTAGACCCCACTTCCCCTCTCCGTGCAGCTCGTACCTCCTTAAAGTTGTCGAACGCAGAGAGAATTATTTCGTGGCCTCCTCTCACGAGACAAACTGCCGCCAGGAGCTCCAAGACCAGAGCTTTAGTTCTGTAAGACAGGGAGACAATGAAGGCGGGAATGGTTAGCAAATGCTAAGTGCCAGCGCTGCGGCAAACCTTGACTTTAACACAGAGCGAACAAAGTGGAAACCAGTGTTAAGATCCCACCAATGCTGAAACCTCGGTGTAGTATGGATCTACGTGGTGTTTATTACAATTCATATATTTTAAAGTTTATACATCTTTAGAAATATTAATTTTACAACTTGAACAAACTTTAAATAACTTGAAAAAAAGTTACGTCACAACCTGAGAGGAAAAAATAAAAGAGCTCCACATTTTCATCTTATCCATTGGATTAAAAAGGCTGCATGAATACTTCAGGCCCAGTCTGTGTCTGTGTGTGTGTGTGTGTGTGCGTAGGATTTCTCTGCCTGGATGAGACGATATGTGACAGGTGATGCAGAGTGGTTTCACATCCACTTTTGAGGAAATCCTTAAGCCTCTGGGCAAAAAGTTTAAACACACCGACACACACACACCGACACACCCCCCCCCCCCCCCACCCACCCACACCCACACACACACACACACACACAC